AAAAAAAAAAAAAAAAGGATATTTTAGTACCATAAGCCCTGGAGGCACATGTGGGACAGGGCAAATCAAAGAAAAATATCGCTCTCAACATCTTTCATTCTACGGTTATGTCCACTTTCCTGGAAGGGAATTCTGCTTTCCACAGGACCCAGGGTCCTGAATCTGTAAAGATGTGGCAGTTTTTCATATATGATGCAGTCATTTGTATGTATATTTGCAAATTACTTGACACTCCTCTTGTGTTAGCTTTTGTTCCCTATGACAAATGCCTGAAGCTGTTTGAAGGTAAAGATGAAAGTTTTGTTGTGGCTCAGTTTTCTAGGTTCTAATCAGGAGGATTAATCAAGTCCCTTGCTTGGAGCCTGTGTGTGACAAGGCAGAACGTGAAGGCCAGAGCACATGGAGGAGAGGGCAGGAGTCAGAGGAGCTTGCTATTTCCATGCATGCATGTGCCCTAATGACCTAAAGCCTTTCCACTCAGCCTCACCTCTTGAAGTTTCCAGCATCTCTAGCAGTTCCACCCAGCAGAAGAACCTTTCATCACATAGGGCTTTGAGGATAGTCATGAGCCAAAGGTTAGCACTTCTCCACTGGAGGGAATATCTAATTCCTTTCCTCCTGAACAGATGTGACAGCTAAGTTACTGATTTCATTCTCATGAATAGAAATGGCAGAAATAATGCAATCTGACTTGAAAGAGGCTAGATCATAAGAAGTCAACTTCTTCCTGGTTCTTCCATGCTTGGATTCCTTCCTAGGGTGGTAGGAGGGGTGGCTAGCATGTGGAGCAATTCAACAGTGTCTACTTGGTAAAGAGCCAACCTCAGCCACGTGAGTGACTGTGGCTGCTCATCTTGATATGTCAATTTCATTGGATCAAAATGCCTAGCATAGTAGTACAGCACAGTCCTGAATGTCTGGTAGGGTCATGGAGGCACAGCCTAGGGTAACCCGTATGCATCCTCAACCCTGCTTCTCTGCCATTGTTCCCCTCTCTGCTGCCTGACAACCATGAGGCAAGCAGCTTTTGTCTGCCAGGCCCTCCTACCCTGTCCTTCTTTCCTCAGAGACAGTCAGCTGTGGAACCACAAGTCATGAGGCAAACTAAATCCCTTAAGTTGTGTTAGGTATTTTGTACCAGTGACAAGAAAGTCAACTAGCACAGTGGGCTGCTTGGGAGGGGTTCCTTAAGTCCCAGAAAAAGGTCATGTCATTTTATTCTGAGACAGCATAGCTTTAACCTCATGAGAAACCTGGAGCCAGAACTAGCCCTCCCACTTGGTTTTAACCATCCAACCCACATAAATTAGGGGAGATTTTTTAAAACCACTGTATTAAGTTATTAAATTGTGGGATTTCTTTACATATGTGTGATGTTCAGCATATACCATTCACATAGATTATTCCATAAGGAAATAAGGGAAGAGAAAACAGGAAAGAGAAATTACTATAAACTCACTGCTCATGGGTCTGAATCATGTCATCATTTCTTCTTTAACTACTGTGATGTTTGCGTCAAGCTGACTGGGTTAAGAGTTGCCAAGTGAATGATAAATAATGTTCCCAGGTGTGTCCCAAAGGTATTTCTAGGAGAAATTAATATTTGAATCAGTAGACTGAGAAAAGGGATTGTGCTCAACAATGTTAGATAGGTATCATCTACCCTCTAGAGTCAAAGAGGAGAAAGAGGCAAAGAAGGTGTGACTGCTCCCTGCTGGAGCTGGGTGTCCATCTTCTCTTCCTATCAGAGTTTAGCACCCCTGGCTTCCAGGCCTTTGGGTTTGGATTGGAGCTGCACTACCAGCAATCTTAGAGCTCCTTCTATATACAGGAGACAGTGGGACTCAGTCTTACTGCATACAGCAATCCCTCATAAAAATATGCTTTTCATCTATCTATCATCTCTATCTATCATCTATATAACTTTTTTCTATTTATCATCAATCATCTATCATGTATCTATTATCTATCTGTCTATATATCTATCTGTATATCTATCTATCTTCCAGTGGAAAACCATCACAGAGCTCTGTATAATATCTGTGTGCTACATATAGCCTCGTGTATCTCCAGGAGCTCTATCTCATGTCACTGTATTCACTCCATCCACATACTACCTCTAGTCTGACTGAGAGCCTGAGCACACACACAGGCAGGAACTCACACCCCACCACCAGGTCCTCAAGTCCTCCTGCTCCTTTCCTATCTCCCCATCTCTCACAAACACAGCTGTCTCCACACTGTCCTAGTCTCCTCCCTTTGTTGGTTGGTCTTCACACAGATCTGTGGCTCCTTGGCTCTTGTGCCCCATGCTTCTGAATCCTGTCCAAATACTGCTATCTCCTGTGTTATTTTCCCACCTACTTCAGCCCACGATGACCAGTCTCTTTGCCCAGTGCTCCCAAGCTGGTCATTGTCTCTTCTCACATTCCTGGCCTACTTGCCAAATGCTGCTGCTGACTGCTTTTACTTCTAATTTATCTTCCAACTCAGGTTAGCAATAATATATTATGCTCTACCTGAACCACTGTCAACCTAATTACATATATAAAATAATCTTCCAAATACAAATGTGTTTTGTACACATGCATGTACTTATTTATATGTACAAGCATGTATATATTGCCCTTATACATGTACACTATTTGTACATGCACACAAATCTATATTTATATCTGCATCTATATCAATATCTCTCTATATCTGGTCTTCAGCACGACAGAGATTTGAGTCCTAATTTACACTGAAATGAGTAGAGTGACTTTGGAAAATGCACTGAAGTTATGGCTTAAATTGAGTATTGTGATGACCATTTATAGGTTCTCTAGGAGGACTAAACAATATCCTGGTAATATTAACTACCATTTGTGCAAGTTGGCTATGTCCTATACAACATGCTAAACATTTTTCAGACCTTGTTTCATTTCCCTGTCTCAGTTTCATGTCATTTGTCTTCACTCTGTACACTATAAAGGTTGAGAAACCTGAGGAGATGTGCATAAACTCAACAGAATATTCTGGAGGACATATCAGAAATACAACCAGTATGGCTAATCCCACTGCTGGAAGAGTTTGCATGAGAAACACTTCCAGGTAGAGCAGGAGGAAAGCAATGAGGAGGCAGGAGATGTGGAAGGTTTCTCCCTTCTGCTGCAGGGCTGCCCTGAACACAAAGGGGAGGGGGAGGGACACTAGCTTGACAGATGACACATTTCTCTTGTTTTTGTTTGTGCATTTGCTGTTTTTTGTTTTTGTCTTATTTTGGAATTCAACAATGGTTGCTATGCTGCATATTGTTGGATTCAAATTAGTTGTTCAGACTATCAGATATAAGCATAAATATTGGTCAAAAAAATAAAAGGAAGGAAAAAATTTAAGCATTAACTGTTCTTTTCAATAGATC